ATCCCAGTACACACCTCTGAATTCTAGACTCCCACATTCAACATCCTACTTGACATCTTTACTTGGATGTGCACTAAGCATCTTAGATTCAGTGTCCAAAACTGCGTTCCTAATACCCTGCGCTTCTGCACCTCAAGCCTGCTCCTCTCAAACTCTTCTTATCTCTGCACATGGAGACTCTGTGGTTGCTCCAGCCAAAATCCCTATAGTGACCTTTGACTTCTTTTGCTCATATCCCACACCCAATCTGGTAGGAATTCTGGTTGGTGCTACCTTCAATGTATCCAATCCAACTACTTTTACCACATAAAATGTTACTCTGTAGTCTTATCTAGCATCCTGTCACTAGGTTCAGTGTTTCTATACTTTCCCTCTCCAGTTTTTTTTAACACAGAGTAATTCTTTCAAACAGTGAATTAGGTTATCTCAGTCCTCGGCACAGAATCCTTCAATGGTTGCCCATTTCACCCGGAGTAAAATCTAAAATTCTTACAAAGGCCCACAAGATCTGTAATAATCTGGCCATTGTTAGCTTTCTAACCTCAGTTATCTTCATCTCTGTCTCCCCCATTCCCGTCCTTCTATCCATATTGACTTCAAATACTCCCGGGCACTCCAGCATTAGTCATTTGTATTTGTTCCCTCTACGTGGAATACTTTTTCTTAGATATCTTTATGGCCCACTCTTTTACCCCTGGACACTTTCACAGTGGTGTAGTGTGAGAACGCTGGAGCCAGATGATCCAGGTCAAAATTTTGGCTCTGCCATTATGTGCCATGACTGTACTTGGTCACATAGTGTCCTGTGTCTTGTTCTTATCATCTTTAAAGGAAAAATAGTAATAGTACCTGCCTCAAGTGCTGCTTTGAAGATTAAATGAGTTAAAGTTTGTAAAGATCTAGAATTATGTCTGGATTACCCTAAGTGCTAAATAAGCATTAATCACCACCACTGCTACCTCCTTCCTTGATTTATTTTTTCTCTATATCATTTATGACTATATAATATCTTACTTGGTTAGTTTGTTTGTCGTCTCTTTGTTATTTATTGTTTGGGCAGAAGTTTTGGTCAAATTTTAGCCTCTTGATCTGCAGTTCCTGACACAAACTGGAGACTCAATAATTGTGACTCCCAGCAGTGCCGTAAGAGTGTCCATTTTCTCTGCACTAACATGGATAATTATGTATTCTTTTCACTTTGCTAAGCTCATTCTGTAAAAATTATGTTTCCTCTTTTATGTATATTTACTTAATCATTAGTAAAATGTATATTATTAGTGAAATTTATATTTTATATTTATATTTAGCTAATGATTAAATTAATGTACATAAAAGAGAAAACATCATTTTAAAATAATAAGCCTGGCACCATTGGGAGTCAAATTGACAAAAACTTTCTGAGACATTTGTTTATTGTTCAACAATAATTTATTGAGTCCCCAGTTTCTGTCAAGAACTACAGAGAAAGCAGCAAAAACAAAAGAGACTTCTATTGAGTTATTTTTCCTTTTATTTTTACTTTCAATTCAATTTACATAAGGGTTTTTTTAACCCAATATTTTGGTACTTAATTCCTAATGTCTCTAATTTCAATCTTTCTTAACTACAAAGATGTTTATGGCTATGCATAAATAATACGCTGCATATGCCTTTGTTTGAATTCCTTAATTTTCTATTTAAACACACACACATGCAATTATTTCTCTGATACTTTTAAACTGAAAATTTGATTTATTTCTTCAAGTGAGTTTCCTTTATTTACTTTTCCTGGAGTGACTTAATTGATATCTTTTAATATAATGTTTGCACTGTTATGAAATTTTTGTCCTGGCCTATTTCTAGAAAATGATCAAACTATAGTTATAAGCATTTTATCATAGTTCAGTTAATAATCCAGATTCTGAAGGTATACAGAAACCAATAATTTGTCTAATTATTGCAACTCACAGACCATCACCTATGTTCAAACTGTGCACACATGGCATGTTCTGTTCTTATGTTGCTAGTATGTATACTATAAATTTGCTATTTTTATCTTATTTTCCTTTGAGTAGGCCTTTACTTAGCTGACTCTTTTGGATTTCTTTATTCTGGGAAGGACTAAACATCCATTAAGTATTCTTTAATGCATCTAACAAGGCCTTCTGGTCATAGCCTATGTCAAAAATCTTAATTGTGAGAAAAGTATTAGTTTGACATTGAATTTGAAAAAGTTTAATCGGTGATTATGTTTCCAAATTATTTGGTACTGGTTAATATGAAGTCTCGCCACAGAATTTACACGTTCCCAAGGGCCTATTGCCTGCCCATACTGCATAATATGGAAGCAATTGGGTTAGCCTTTCCATTTCTAGTCAGGTTGCAAAAGTTCAGAATACCTTGGAAAATTAAGAAAAATGTCATTTTCTGTAGCTACCATTCTTCGTCTGTTGATTTTAATTAAATAATTGCTGATCATTAAGTAAAAAGAAACTGAAGTCAGAGTTCACTTAAGTGTTGATGATGAACTGTCTCTCTGGGTCTTGTTACCAAACTCTTCATTGCAAACAGAATCTCCTACTGTCATTGTTAAAAGTGGGTTTACTTGCTACTCAGTTTCAAGGGGCCTTATTAAAAGGACTGGATTCTCAGCTTTATCATGGGGACATATTAACTGAAACCAATCTCAACAAACATAAAGTTTCAACTTGAGACTAATTAACATTCAGCTTAATTTGAGTGTGTTGAGATCATTCATTATCTGATTCCTCAGGGATGGCTATTTCATCTACCTAGAAGTATCTTCCCTTGGGAGACAAGATAGCATACTGGGAAGAGAAGAGGATTTGGAACCAGATCTAAGCTTGTGTTCAGGCCCTTCTACTATCTACCCACGTACTCTTGGGAAGGTCATAGATTCTGAGCCTCAATTAAGACGTAAAAACACTACCTACAGCACAGGGAAACTTTGAGGATTAATCCTATAATGGATATTAAATTACTTTGCCCACTGCAAATTGCTGATGCTGTAATAATTACAAGTAGAATGATAACAATAATGATAACAGTGACTAAAATTTATTGGGTGCTTATTACGTGCCAGGCAAGGTACTAAAAAAGTCGCATACGTTGTATTATTATTCCTTACAAAACACTATGATGTAGGAAACACTTTTCAGATAAGAGAGCTCAGAGCATTTAAATAATTTGTCTTAAGTCACAGCCAATGAATGTGTTACCTAGAATCAAGAGTCAAGGTGCAGCTGGAGAATGGATACTATTAACCACTATTCTCTACACTATATTATTATAGCATCTCTTTTAGTACTTGTAGTAAAAATCTTGGATACTCGTGCTCTTTGTAGTTATAATAGAAATATTGCCTTAGATAGCTAGACAAATACAGAAATAAGTATATATACACATAAACGTATATCACTAAATTGTTTTAGATATCTCAACCAAAGTGATTCTTTTTCTCCCTCCAAAAAAGAACCCCACTCTATGAATTCCATATCACACCAATAACACAACCTAGGGAATAATAAACTTTATAACAGTACATCTCTAAATTCTCTAATTTTTTTAAGGAGCATACACACTATCTATAACATGTAATTATTTTTCATTTTGAATTCCATTCTTTTTCCACTAATTTTTCTACATATCAATCTCTTTCAAATTTGCTGCATGTTATTCCATCATGTTAAGCCACCATTTTGTTTGAGAGAGCTCTTGAAATGCATCTGATTATGTTAATCTTGTGTATAAGATGTTTCTGTAGTTTCTCTCTACTATAGGATTTAGTCCAAATTCATTAGTATGACCCGCAATGCTCTATGAGCTCATGGCCCCGACTGTCTTTCTAACTTCTTCTCCTGCTTTTTCCCTCCCTGTCCACCACATAGTTCCTCTCCTTCATTGATTGTGGCTGTACTTCTTGTCTTTGCACATTCTGTGTCACTGAAATACTTTTCCACAGCATTTCCCCCCTTTATAATGTCTAAGTCCTTCTCATACTTCTAATACAAGCTCAAAAGTTAACATTGTAGCAGGATTATCACCAAATTCCCTCAATCTTCTCCTTACCAGATCCCTCAAAAGGGAAAAAAGAATGTTGATCGGTTATTTCTCAGTACACTCTGTGCCTTCCTTGTGTCACTGCTACATTTTTCATGCTGTATTATAACATATATTTTGCATATCTGTCTCCCTCGTTAGACTATGAGCTCTACCTGAGGGCAGGAACTCGGACAGAGTGGTACTTTTAACTCTGGAGTGGCAACACAGGTTATTGTTTTTAATATTTTCCGTAAACATTGGAGTAATTTGAATAAAATTACCTAAAAGAAAAGCAGCAACATAGTAGAATATTATCACGTTCATGAAATTTCTTAGCCCAAAGCTGTATTTCGTTAGTGCCTTGTTTATTTGAATATGTTTAATATATGTCTTAATTCAATACACACATAAATAAGAGATCTGACATTACTATAAATAGGCTATTCCCCATTGAATTTTTTACATTTCTAGTATACACGGGTGCCATATTTGGCAAAATTTCATTATTCTGATTCATTGATTTCTCTGGGTTTTGCTGATCATGTTATTTGTGAAGCATTTTTATTTCTTCCTTTTAAAAATCCATGCCTCTTATTTTTCGTTTGTGCAGATTTGCTGGCCTCTATAATAATATTTTTAATAGATATGTCCTGATATTTCAAACCCCAAATTGGTGCAACTAGTTATGAATTATAAAAATTTTCATCTTTTTACTAAATAAATTATTATATAATAATTTTTTATAATGAAAAATTTCAAACATACACAAAATTGGAAGAATGACCCCATAACTACTGCCCATCTTCAACGTGTCCATTTATAGTCAGATATGTTTCATCCATGCCTCTCACCCCGTCCACTAACCCCCAAAGCTATTTTGAAGTATATACCACACTTCACACCATTTCATCTGTTGATATTCTCCAGGCAAAGGCCACCAGGGGCAAATCTCTAGTCAAAGTTGTGTTACTGTTTCTTGTCTCAACACGCGAGATTACACACCATGGAAAACAGGGGCATCTCAGTAAGAGGTCTTAGGGAAAGCTTGCTACAGGATTTCAGACTGTGTGGTTATTTCCGGTATGGTTCAACAAAGCACGGCTGTGCTCTGGATTGGGTGCAGTCAGAGAGTGGCAGCATTTTAATGATTCGGTATGTTAATGGTTCTTATTCAGACCATGGACAAATTGGAGTACAGCTAAAGCTTTAACTGTTAAAGAAGCAACAGTCCCCCACAGTAGCCAGGTGAAAAGGATGTTTCACCATTTTTGTGGTTTAGACAGTGTTCTTGATTTTATCTCTGCCCAGACATTATTACTGAGTGATCCTGTTTTTGTCTTGCTTCATCACCATTACCAAGTAAACTTCTTTCTGTGAAACTATTGTTGTCATTCTGTGAAATTATTGATATTCTGTAACAGAATACTACAGCTTAGCTTTTAGGGCCAAACCAGATCCTAGTTTGATCCTGAATGAAGACAGAATGGTTCTAAAAATAAAATTGCCCTTTCTGTATCACTTGTTTTTAAATGCTTTAGTTGAATAAAAGACTATCACCCAATTCTAAAAAATTCTGCAGTAACAAGAATAAGAATAAGCCTAAAAATAAGAATAGCTGATATTTATTGAATGTTTGACATTGCCTGGCCTAGTTCTGTGTATTTAGCATTTATCAATTCATTTAATCCTCTTATCAATACTAGGAAATGTCACACATTTTCAAGTTTAATATGTGAAAATCAAGATTTACAAAATAGATAAATTAAGTGGTCCTTAATCCATTTTACCTTCAAAAAAGGATCATTTAAAAATATGTGTACTTAAAATTACTTGAAAGTTTGTTTTAATTTAATTAAAATATCCTTTGTTTTACCAGCATAAGATTTTCAGTAATATATCTGGAATGTAAGTACTCTGATGAATTTAGTTTACAATTTTTTGTATGCTTACTTGTATTTCTTTCATATTTTCTCAATTATATTTCTTATGTATATATTAGTTCAGAGGAACCCATACTTTTTCTACATATTTTGACTCACCAAATTAATGTTAGAAAATAATCTACAAAGAAGCACCATTAGTAATTGCATATTTATAAACTATTTTTTTTCCTCAAGCCTTCTTCTTGGCACTCAATTTGGTTTGTAAGTAATTAAATTAAGCATAGAATGTTGGCATCTTATTATATAAGTAACCACACAAGTTGAGGACAATTAGAGATAATTTCTCCAGAAAGTCTCAACTTATAGATGAGAAAAGTGTGTTTGTGTGTGTGTCTGTGTGTGTGTGTGTATTAAGCTTCTTTCCTTAGGTTTTAAACCAAGGCAGTTATATACAGTCATGCACACCATAATGACATTTCGGCCAAGGACAGACTGCATGTATGACGGTGGTCCCAGAAGATCAGCACCGTATAGCCTAGCTGTGTAGTAGGCTGTACCATCTAGGGTTGTGTAAGTAACTCTACATTGTTCCCACAGCAATGAAATCACCTAATGACGCATTTCTTACGAAGTATCTCTATTGTTAAGAGACACATGACTGTAATAACAAATGGGACCCTGTGACATCAAAGTGCCAAAGTGAAATATGATTAGACTGTACAGAAACAGCTGTGAATCTGGTTATGGGGGAAGACGGGAGATTCTCAGGAACATTTGAAGTTAACGTCACTGATAGGCAAAGGGATGATAAAGGCAGAAAGTCCTCTGCCCCATATGTGGTAATTTTTCCCTTTACTTTCTTTTCCAGGTTATGTGAGCAACATGGGGGATCCACTTTCTGTGCCAGGCTCAGGCTCACATATCTTTCCAATCATTTTTTTAACTTATGAAAATTTAATTTAAATCTAGTTTTTGGCAGACATTTTTGTGGATCATCATTCATTTTTCTTTTAATCCCAGTGTTGTATAATTTGTATAGTTGGAAATTTAAGGTACTCATTAAAAAATTAAGCTTTATAATTGGACAAAATTGAACTCAAATCTTACTTTTTTCCAGTTAACAGCTATAGGTGTATTAATGAATGACACAAACTGTTTTGAATTTCCTTATTCTTTAAATACCCATCTCAGTAGGGGCTATGAAAGTTAACTGAGACAGTACACTTAAAGCACTTCACCCAGCACCTCACCCAGAAAAACATACAATAGATGCTGGTTCTATTTTTACGTTGAAAAGTTTAGAACTAGATAAATTGACGGTTTATAATGTAATATTTAGTAAAGGTAACAAAAGTGGCTTCTTTTTTTCAAGAAGAAAGATGATTATTTTAATAGCAGTAACAGAGACCCTAAAAAGAGTCAGTTTAAAATGCGATCATAAACACACCCAAAGAGATATTTAAAAGCATTAAATTTCTTTAAAGATCACAAAAAATAACTCCTTAGCTTTATGTTTTCATTTTGTTGATTTTAAAATGAAGCATATCATGTTGCCAACTATTTCTAAAAAGGCTAATACCCCATTACCCGAAACCAAATAAAAGGATCATGGATCTAATAACAAAGCTAATAATTAAGTATAATAGTCAACATTTCTGGGTGCTTGTTATATGCTAGGAACTATAATCTTATTTAATCCTCACAATGAGTCCAAGAGAAAGGAACTATTATTGCCTTTTGCAGATGAGGAAACTAAGATACAGAAATGTAAAATAATTTACCAATGACAACAGCTCTTACTTGGAAAATTTAAAATTGTTTGCCAAACTGTGTGAATGTAGAGCCTATGTTCCTAACCACACATTTATGTAGAGTAGGCAATGAATTATAATGGTGTGAAGTGGCTCCAAGGAACCACACTGACACAGAATTGCTGTCAGTAAACGCTCCATGTCCAGGTAGCTCTGCTGGTGCTCTCCTACCAGCTGAATGCAGAAGGCGGAGTGTTAGGGAAATTACCCGGAGTGATACAACCAAAAATCCTTGCTGTTAAACTTCGACATGTTTTTCAAATTATCTGTGCAGCAAGCTTGAAGTAGAAGATCCCAGATGTTGATTGATTTCAGTACTACCCAAATTTCTCAGTATGACACATAATTAAGGTAAAGCCACTATTTCCCAATTCTCTTTCTTTAATTATGAAGAAACCATGATCAACCAGGATTCAGAACTCTCTCTCTTTCTCTCTCGTTTTACAATTCAACAACTCAAAATTTACAAAATGGCTTTCATGTAGAAATCACCGAGAATGAAACAGCTGGTGAGACATATTCTGAGTGAATTTGAGCACTTAAAGAATTTGGCTCTATCATTTTTCAGCATTGTGACTCTAGATAAAACACAACTCACAGTCCTCTGATCACTCCCTGTCCAATGAGTTTTCAGTTATTTGATAGCCAAACACAACCTTTCTTTAACTCTTTTCAGTGCATTTTTTACCTCCTGATTTCTCAAGCTATAGATCAATGGGTTTAACATGGGAATCACTACCACATAAAACACTGAAGCAAATTTATCTGTACTTAGAGAATGGCTTGAATTGGGCAGTACATACATAAAAATGATTGTCCCATAAAATATTGTGATGGAAGTCAGGTGGGAAGCACAGGTAGAAAAAGCTTTCTGTCTTCCTTCAGCAGAATGGATCCTCAGAATGGCGAAGAGGATGAAGACATAAGAAATTATCACAATCAGTAGAGAGCAAAGGGTGTTGAACCCAGCAATGATTAACAACATCAATTCTTTGATGTGAGTGTCGTAACAAGCCAGAGCAACCAAGGGAACATCATCACAGTAGAAGTGGTTGAGCACGTTGGAGCCACAAAAAGACAAGTGGAATGTCGCCACTGTCTGGACAAGACCCACAGCAAATCCATAAACATATGTGCTAACAATTATTCGATAACAGAGTTTTCTAGGCATGAGAATGACATAGAGCAAAGGGCTGCAGATGGCAACATATCGGTCATATGCCATAATTGCAAGCAAATACAGTTCACAAACTACAAATGTGATGAAGCAGCACACCTGAACGGCACATGCATAAAATGTGATACTTTTAATGTCACACAGGAAATGCACCAATGTCTTTGGGGTGACAGATGAAGTAAAAGAAAAATCGACGAAAGCCAGATGGCTCAGGAAAAAATACATGGGTGTGTGAAGGTGAGGACTGATTTGGATCAGCACAATCAAACCAAGGTTACCCATGACACTAGCTAAATAGATCACTAGGAATACAGCAAAGAGAATGGCTTGCAGCTCTGCATCACCTGTGAGTCCCAAGAGGATAAACTCAGAGGCTGCTGAATGATTGCCTTTGGCCATGCAATAGATTTAAAAGTGTTTTTATATATATATTTTTTAAAAGCCTCCAGAGCAAACACTCTGAGTATTCTTGTCTCCACCGGCAATAATCAAGCAGATGTTAGGAGCTGGTTCTGACCCACCATGATCTTATGTCGAACACAATCAAAGGAGAATCTTCATGTTACTTCTGGTTTCAGAAGGAAGTGGTTTGTTCTAGGCAGAAATTCCAAAGCATGGAACTCTATGATGATTTGTAAATATAGAAAGATGATATTTTATTTAAAATTTAATGTAACAGAGTAATCTATTTTATAACTATTTCTAATAAGAGAAATTAGAGATTGAGAGTTATTTGAACATAGATAAAAATAATTTTTTAAATTCTTGGAATACTTAAAAAATTATACTAATTCCTTTGAAAAATTTTAATTAAGAGGAAGCAGTAAATTAAAAATATTTATTCCAGAAGAAGTAATATGAGAGGTCATAAAAATTTTTTGAATATTGATGGTATCTATACCACATATTCAGGATAATTTTTATTTTATTTTATTCTCTTACTTACTATGACTCCCAGTTTTTCTTCGATTGTTATGTAGTGTTTGTAAATTAAACGGAGAAAAAAAATCCTTAGGAATGTGGACAGTCTTTCTTTTGAAAGCCGCATAATAGGATTAAAAAGACATAAGTGATTCAGGAAACACATTTATCATGAACCTTCAAACATCCAAATGCAAATCAGGAAAAGAGAAAAAATTCTAGGATGAGTTTGTAGAAATACCAACTGGAGGTTTCTGGCTTATTAAATGGAAGCAGCTTTTCATGACCTTTACTTGAACAGAAGAGAGATATATGTTTGATTTTCTTTTTTCAATATTGTATCTCAGAATATCTTTACATCAACACTATAGATTGGCAATATAGCCATCATCTTCACTTTCAGATATGGAAACTGAGGGTGAGAGCTTACGCCCTCTTCATGTTTCACGATTAGTGTCTGGTGAAGCAGAATAACTCACTAAACCAGTCCTTGATTCCTTAACACCAATTCGTAGTTTATAGAAATGATCACCTTTCAGAGAAGCAAGAACTGCCCTATCAACCAGAGATCAAGGCAATTTTAGAAAGGCAATCTGCAAGTTTGTCCATGTCAAATGTTTAGAACAGTGCCTATCTTATACTGTGTATTAAATCAATTTTATCTCTTAAAAGTATTAATAGTATTTAGATTGAGACTTACTCTGCAGAAACCTGTGTGTGGTCCCATCACACTGATGACTGTAGAAGGTTGTTGTTTTGCAATGTTTTGAAGTGTTCTTCCATTGCATTACTAACTAGTGATCTCAAATTGTTGCATTTCCTGGCTCTTATTCTTTCTAGTACTAATATTCCTCTGATGTGTTGGAGCTTGTGTAGCTCTTGCTCTGATATTACCAAACTCTCCAACATCTTCAATCATTTTCTTCTCTTTTCCTTAAACTGAAACTTGGTTCCCCCTTGAAAACCTGCTTCTCCCCAGGTCACTTCTCCGTATGCTGCTCCATTTGAAACTCGCCACGTATTTTAAGTCTAGCAGGTGAGAGAAGGCTTTCTTCTCGTGTGGAGCATTGTCCTTATTTATTGTTACATCTTGCACTTGTGTCAACTCCCCTGATACTGATACCGGCTCAAGACAAGGTTGACATGAGGGAAGCCATATCGTAGAAAAGAAAAACTCTATTGTAACTTTGAATGACCTCTGACAAACCAACCCAGCTAGGTATGCACCCTCCAGGAGATCTAACCGCTCTGTAGATTTTACGACTCCTGCTTGTGCATGTACCTGCCAGCTGAGATAAGATGATAACTTTGTTTTTTTGAGTTCCTTAGGAATGTGATGACCCCAAAACAGAGTGTCTATGCTGATAGCCATCATCAGTGAAAACTGAAAGATCTGCTGTGGCACTCCTAGTCTGTAACACCAGAAGGTCAACATTCCTAACCCTCTCCGTATAACCCAATGGCCTATATAACTGCTGTAAGATTTTGTGCCCCCTTAAGTTGGTTCTTTTGGACATGAGTCGGCCATCTTCTCTCTTGCTATCAAGCTGTAATAAAAAAGTCCTTTTGCTCCTACCACCTTGTCTCTTGACTATCGGCATGTCTTGCAGAGAGCAGAAGGCCCCACATTGGGCT